GCTCCGCATCCCCGTGACGCTGGCCAACCCGGCGGCGTTGCGGCCCCGCTCGACTCCTCCGCCGCCGCCGTCAGCGCCGGCCGTCTTCCCGCTGCCGAGCCCTCGCCGCCGCCTGCATGGCGCTCAGCGGCTTCTGCAGATCCGAGGGCTCCGACCCCTTCTGGGTAGGTGCCGGCGACGCGGGGACGCGCGGGGCTTGGGCATGGAGGCCGCTGCTAGGCGAGGCCGGCGGCGCGGGGAAGCGCGGGCCCTCGGTGGTCGGGCACCCCAGGCACCCCGGTCTCCCTGGCAGCCGCAGGGATCCCCCACTCGCGGGTGCAGCTGATGGGGAGCTTCGGGTGGCTCGGGCCCAGGCAGTCCGGCATGGTGGGGGTGGTGTGGGGGTGTGGGGGTGAGGAGGGCTTGTGCCCGACCTAGGGCTTTGGAGAGAGCTAAGGGGCCTCTCTGCTTTGGGGTTCTCTCCTCCAGTTACTAACCTTCCAGGAGAAGGAGCTGTGGAGATGGGTCCGGGGTCCTGTTCACCCATCTTCTTTTTAGTGTTGGGTCTCCCCCTTTCACTAAAGACACCCCCTTACTGCAAGGGTGAGCTGGGGAGAGTCCCAGACTGTAGAGAGGGGACTTCGCGCTGATTGGATTGGGCTTTACCCCCACTGCTGTACTCCCCATTACCCTCTGTGGTTACATATTTTTGTCATCTTTTCCTTCCTTTCTGCCTAAATGCTCGGCGAGGGGGGTTCAGAGGAACGGGCGGTGCGGGGAGGGGGAGTCAGAGGAGCAGGGATGTCCAGGCCTGTTCCACCTGACCCTCAAGTTTGGCCTGGTACCTGTGGCTGTGCCTTCCTCGCGTAAGGCGGTGAGGCTCCTCTCTGGATTTGCTCTGGGGTTTTCTTCTGAAATGTGGAGTGCTCAGACTAGCCAGGCCTCCAGAGTTTAGTTTCTATGGCTTAATCCCCAGCGTCCCTGTAATGCGATTTGCCCCTTTTGTAGAAGGGCACTCCTTGTCCTGCTGTCTTGATTAGTGGTAAACTCGATAGGCAGATCTGCATACAATTGTGTTTCCTTTTTGTTTAGGTAACTGGAAAAACACCCTGGGTTTTCAGGAGCTGGTGATTAGCATCCAGAAATACCTTCTTGCCCCGTTTTATGGTCCTTTCCTGAATGTTGAAAAGTCACTGTGGAGGGCTGTAGTAGCTGACTTTCTTGTTAGGTGTCCTTTGGGTGGAAAACACACCATACTTTGGTACTCTCACTTTTAAGCCAGTGGGGCTGAGGATTTACCTCAGGGCTTGAAACAGCACTTGTACTTTGCGTTGAGAGCCTGGGAGTGATTGGAGCCCATTGGCAGTTGGATTTAGGAGCTCCTGTGGATCCCTTAAGCCCTGTACCAGGTGTACCATCGACAGGATTATTTCTGCAAGGGTCCACAGGAGGATCTGCCCTTGTGCTTCATGAGTTCTGGAGTAGTTCCTTGTTTATTTCTTCTCCTAAAGTGAGGCAAAGGAAAGCATAAGTGCCTGTAAGTTAGATTCTGTCTCAAGGTGTATTTTACTGATGGCTCCTGGATGGGCATGGGAGTTGAGTTATATCTGAGGTATCCTCTCTCCTCTTGATTTAGCTAAATAGCCCATCCAAGAAACAGGTTGTGTTTTTTTCTCTTCCAAGGACTTTTTGCTACAGCACTGTCAGAGGCCTGAGTTGCGTGTGGTGGTGGTGGTGGTCATTAGTCTTCACCTTTGGCAAGTCTAGCGTCTCCTCCCTATGAATTCCTAGACCTCCTGGATGCCCCAGTTTTTGGAGGTGCCCTGGACCGGGATTTGTGAGTGGGCAGCTGGTGCACAGGAGCCTCCAGGTAGCGGGGAATGTGAATGTAGTACAACACTGGTGGCTTCTGAGTTTTCCAGGGCAGCAGGCTTCAAGCTGGGAGAGATGCTCGGCCAGGTGGGTGACTGTGACTTGAGCAAGCCATTTCACCTCTCTGTGCTCCAGTTTCCTTGTCTGTAAAATGGGGGCAGGAGCCGCACTGTCTTAACCTCCTGGAGCTGTGAGTCAGTGAGTGGCCTCAGCCTGTACCTGCCACAGGGATAAACAGTGGTTATCATCATTCTTTCCAAAGATGAAACTTTCCATTTCTAGTTCTTTGACTTTCTTTGGACTCACTTTTTCTGTTGTTTGAGGGAATGGGTTTGGGCTGTATGGTCCATTTAGCTACTCATAATTTTTTTTTTTTGAGACAGGGTCTTGCTGGCTGACCTTGAACTCACTCTGTAGCACAGGCTGGCCCTGAGATTGCAGCGATCCTCCTGCTTTGGCCTCCTGAGTGCTGGGATTACAGGTGTGTGCCGCCATGTCCGGCTCAGCTACTCGTAACTGGTTCGTCTTGTGACCAAGGCTCTGCATTTAGAAATCAAGGTTGCTGGCCCAGGTGTGGCCCTCTAAAGCCGTGATGGTGAACCTTGTAGAGTTTTCAGTGATAATAAGCAGCTGGCTGGGTTTGTCACTGCTGCCCCTAGAGCCTTGTTCCTTTGCCAGTGTCTCCCTCTAGGGTCCAGGAAATATGCAGGAAAACCAGGAGGGGGAGGGGGTCCGAGGTCCATAGTGAAGGTCCTGACTCCCTGCCTTCCCTCAAGCACATGCACTGAGAGAGAAAGGAGGAAGTTTGTTACCTGAATGGAAAACTGGGGCTGAGTTCCTGGTGCTTGGCTTTCTTCTGCCCTGGGTGTGGCTGTGTGGGTGGTCTGGGGCTGGTGGTGGAGGGGCGCTTTTGTGGCCGATGTTTGAATGATGGTCAGAAAGATGGGTCTGGGGCTTTCCTTGCAAGTCAGTTTTTTAAAAACATGTGGTCATACGACTCAAGCCCCGTATGGAAGATTGGCCAATATGGAAAAGCGGGGAAGACAACTCAGCAGTATAGTGTGGCTGCACAGAGCAGGTGCTCATATCCTTGGGTTCAAATCCTGACCCTGCAGCTCGGGTGAGTTGCTTTGCCTCTGCAGCCTCGGTTTCCCCACGTGGGATAGCGTAGTTCCCATGATGAATAGTGGTAATTCCAGGAGTAGTGATAACTGGAGGAACAGTGAGGGAATCCTTGGAGAGCGCTGTTGCTGAGTGGCCTCCCTGGGTGGATGTTGAATCTAGGGGCCAGAGTGGTGGCCAGATGGGGCCCCAGGTCATGAGGTAAACAGTTTTTGGAGGAGGAGCCTTGGGGGCCTTGGAGAAAATGGGCGCAGGGTGTGAGTGAATTAGGCCTTGCACAGGAAGGCACGGCTGGCTCCTTGGCTGAGACTCTAGTGAGGGGTTGGGGTCCTGAGCTGCCAGCTGACATCTTTGTGATGGTTTTGGAGGTCATGGAACATAATGGTCATGGGGGGCAGGCCTTTGCTCTGTGGACTAGACTTGGGGAGCAAATCTCTCCACCTGCTGACTTACCGTGTCCCAGAGGAGCTTGGACTCCCCCAGCCCTCCCATCTCAGGGGAGGCAGCGCTGTCCTCACAGAGGACAAAAGCTGCAGTGTCCTTGCCGCCTTTCTCTTCCCTTCCCTTATCAGAACCGTCAGCAAATCCTGTTGCCTGGTCCTTCAAAATGTATCCGAATCTGCCTGCTTCCCACACTCTCCCATCAGCTAGTTCCTGGATTTGAATGCTCACCCACCAATGTTGTCCTTACTCCGCCCTTGACCCCTGCAGCCTGGTCTCAGCCCAGCTGCCAGAGGGACCCTGTTAAAATGCACATCTGATCTGCCCCTGTTCTGCTTAGAACCAGGTAGCTGCTCCCCATTTTCCTCAGGGTGGAAGCCAGAGGGCTTACAGTGGCTTCTGGCCAGGCCTTATCCCCTCTTGGACCTCATCCCATGCTGCTTTTTGTCTCATTTTACTCCAGCCACACTACTGCCAGGCCTGCTCCTGCCTCAGGACCTTTGCACTTACTGCTTCTACAGCTTGGAGTGTTCCTTCACCTTCATATCTTGATGGGCTGTCACTTACCTCAGGCAGCCTTTCCCTGACTCTGCTACTTCCCCTGCATGCAAAATTTTCCACTTCACACTTCATAGCTCTTACTGCTTCCTTATATATGCGGTATTCTATTTCCACCAAAAGGCCAGCTCTGCAGGGACAGGGATTTTGCCTGTCTATGGCTGTAATCTCAGCAACTAGGAGAGTACCTGGTACTTAGTAAACACTTGTTGAATGCATGAATGACCAAAAGCTCTGGGATGGCTTGCAAACTTCATTAAAACCTCTCTAGAGATGTTCAGGGTGAAATGTCACCTGTTGAGGGCAACTAAGATAAAGCCCTCCAACTTCCATGTTGTCCTGCTTATGTTTTGTCTTGCAGGGTCTCCCGTATGGTGTTTTTTTTTTTTTTTCTTTTTTTTCTTTTTTTGTTTGAGACAGGGTCTCACTAAGTAGCCCATACTGGCCTCAAACTTGTGGCGATCCTCCTGTCTCGGGCTCCCAATTACAGGTGTGTGCCACCATGCTCGATTTTCCGTGGGATTTTGCCTATCTCTTTTCCCCAGACCCAGCACCTCACACACTGTAAGTGCAACCACCACTTGCATTTGAGTGTGTGAGATACATGTTCTAAGCTGGGATTTCCATTTAGCGCATCAGTGACCTGGCTTGGCTTTATTCTAATTCTGTGAATGGCTGTAATTTCCAGTATTTACTAATGGGAAGATTTCACAGAAACATCTAGATTTTGAATTTCTGAAAACTGGATGACCAGAGCGCATTGGGCTTAGCTGGAGCTGCCCTCTCAAGGATAATTTGCTGCAGTCCTCACCTCTTTTTACTGTCGCTTTCATTTAAGGCCAAGTGTCATTTCTCTGTTTCACTGTATTTTCTCATAACTGGTCACCCTCTGTCAAATTTGACTCCCACCTGATTAGTATTTGAATCAGCATTTTGGTAGCTACTCTAGGACCCATTTAAACTGGCTAGATGTTGTTGTTTCTTTGAGACAAGATCTTGCTATGTAGTCCAAGATTCTCCTGCCTCAGCCTCCCTGAGTGCTCTGCTTTTTTTTTTGGTGGTGCTAGGGGTGGAACTTGGGGCCTCATGCATGCTAGGCAAACACTGTACCACTAAGCTGCATCTCCACCTGTATTAATGATACAGTCTAGCACCTTGGTAGGAGGGGAATGGGTGAATTAATTATTGCGGC